TTCAGTACAATGGCTTAACCCCATCAGTTCAATGACTTAACCCCTTCATTACCAATGACTTAACCCCTTAATTTTAATGACTTAACCCCTTCGGTAGAATGACTTAACCACTTCAGTACAATGACTAACCACTTCAGTACAATGACTTAGCCCTTCAATTAATGGCCTTAACCCCTTCAGTACAATGACTTAATCCCTTCAGTACAATGACTTAACCCCTTCAGTACAATGACTTAATCCCTTCAGTACAATGACTTAACCCCTTCAGTACAATGACTTAATCCCTTCAGCACAATGACTTAACCCCTTCAGTACAATGACTTAACCCCTTCAGTACAATGACTTAACCCCTTCAGTGCAATGACTTAACCCCTTCAGTACAATGACTTAATCCCTTCAGTACAATGACTTAACCCCTTCAGTACAATGACAATCCCTTCAGTACAATGAGCTTAACCGCTTCGGTACAATGACTTAATTCGCTAATTCTGCAATGGCTTAACCCCTTCAGTACAATGAAACGCCCTTCAGTACAATGGCTTAATCCTTCAGTGCAATGACTTAACCCTTCAGTACCAACCGCTTCAGTACAATATTAACCCCTTCAGTACAATGACAACCGCTTCAGTACAATGACTTAATCCTTCAGTACAATGACTTAACCCCTTCAGTACAATGGCTTAACCCCTTCAGTACAATGGCTTAACCCCTTCAGTACAATGGCTTAACCCCTTCAGTACAATGACTTAACCCCTTCAGTACAATGACTTAACCCCTTCAGTACAATGGCTTAACCCCTTCAGTACAATGACTTAACCCCTTCAGTACAATGACTTAACCCCTTCAGTACAATGGCTTAACCCCTTCAGTACAATGGCTTAACCCCTTCAGTACAATGACTTAACCCCTTCAGTACAATGACTTAACCGCTTCAGTACAACAACCCTTTTAGTACGACTGCCCCTCAGTACAATGACTCAGCCCCTTCAGTACAATGACAATCCTTCAATTTTAATGACTGGCCTTCAGTACAATGACTTAACCCTTCAGTACAATGACTTAACCCTTTCAGTACAATGACTTAACCCCTTCAGTACAATGACTTAACCCCTTCAGTACAATGACAACCCCTTCAGTACAATGGCTTAATCCCTTCAACAATGACTTAACCCCTTCAGTACAATGACTTAACCCCTTCTTAACCCCTTCAGTACAATGACTTAACCCCTTCAGTGCAATGACTTAACCCCTTCAGTACAATGACTTAATCCCTTCAGTACAATGACTTAACCCCTTCAGTACAATGACTTAACCCCTTCAGTACAATGACTTAATCCCTTCAGTACAATGACTTAACCCCTTCAGTACAATGACTTAATCCCTTCAGTACAATGACTTAACCCCTTCAGTACAATGAATTAATCCCACCAAACACAGTCCAGAAGACACCGTCGCCAGGGGAAGTGTAATCCCTCATGGCAACTGTCCACTCGCCCCTCACAGTATAAAGTAGCCAAAGGAAACACCTCGTGATCTCAAGCCTCGAGTCTAGCATAGACTATGGCGGAGAGTGCGAGTACACCTCATTATACGTGGAGATTATCCCCAGCTTATTTTGTCTTGTGCTTACCACCCTAGCGTTAACCTAACAACATAACTTAACCTAACCTAATATTGCCCAACATAACCTTATATGTCACGTCTCGCCATCACATTTTGCGAGGAAAAACTTTGTTAACACGGGCACTTGTCACCCTGGCGTCTTTCCTCTCTCCCCCGCCCTACATCACCGGCTCATGCAGCAGACGACGTCACCTATCAGCCAATCAATGACGATTTTCCAAAATGTGATGTCACAACCCCATGATTGTCCCACAATGCGGGCCCATATTAGGCCCTGACCGCCTGTTTCTCGAGCACTCACTCTACTACTCTGCCCTCCTCCTCCCTCCTTCAACAGCCTGTGTGTGGAACTCCCCGACTTCTCCAGCGCCCTTGTCTGCTACATTACGGCGAAGTGATCTTTTTAGCCTTATGTGCTACTTTGATACTTAGGTGATACTTGTGCACTCAAGTGACTCGCGTGCTCCTGTCAGCGTACTGCTATCATTACGCCTCATTCATTAATGATAACGGGTCCGAGAATCTTACTTATGTACTTTATGAGCGCTATTACACGGGACCACCACAGTGCTCTTATTCTTGTGTCTATTTTGTCATTTACTCCTTTAAATTCTTGAGCTTTTGGTTACACCTGGAGTAGGACTGGCGTCTTATCATGACCAGCCTATCCAGTTGATGTAATATATATACTGTACATATTAGAATTAAGATTAACTATAAGCACTTAACTGTTAATGCATGTTTAACTACCTTCCTTCTATCTGGTATCTAAGAATTTCTCAATCTTAATTCTCTGATACTTAAATTCACTGGGGGCACACTACAATTTGTTCATGAGAAGAATGTCTTACATAGATATTTCACTAATTTTTCCTTGGAAGTTCTGAATAAACATTAAACTGTTGACTAGAAGTTTCTAATACGTGAAAATGACATAACATAACCCCCAGGTAGTATTAGAGTGTTCATTAATCAGTTGAAAATAAGGTGATGGAGCTAATCTTCACATGATCCCAAGTATATACAGCTATAGAAACAAACAGGAATATTATTGTCAAAACAGTCGATGGGTTTCATACACAGCTGCAGTGAAGGACGGAGAGAGGAAGGCGAGTAGAAGCGAGCTCAGGGGCATCACAAGGACAGGGAAGCACCAGAGGAGTATCGACTGACCTCACAAAAAGAGAAGGAAGATGTACTGGTAAACACTGCCTCACAGGGTGTATCAAACACTTCAAAATTTATCCAGAATGTTGGAGCAATGTTACTGTGATACTTCTGTTAAAAAAAGTAAACAGAGCAACTTAAAACAACGGGCTAAATCCGTCTATATGCTACACAGATTTGTCTAGACATATCGACCACCAGAATTTTAAATAAAACTGGATTTCAATCACACGAGAGAAAAGAGAGAGTTCAGAAGACATTACAGCATCAGAGAACATCGGGAAAATGTCTGGGAAGTATACAAGAGCATAACAGACGGATATGTTCAAGATTCGTTTTATACTGTATACTAAATACTTTGGATCACTTGAAGATTCGGCCCCAAGCTTATTTCACTGGAGCATTAACAATTATAACGGCAACCTGATTTATCGCTAATCTAACCTAACCTAACTTAACCTAGTATAACCAAACCTAATGCGAACCTAACCTAATTTAATCTATCCTAACCTAACCTAACCTAACCTAGTCTCACCCAACCCCACTGAGGTAACGTTAGGGAGGTTAATCTTCAGGTGCTCTCACTCAATAAGTACAGAGTGACTAAGGATACAGTAATTACATGGATTATTCGATTACAGACATAAAGAGGAAATAAAAAATCCTATAAAAAACTAATTTGGAAAGAAAATAAATATGGATGATCAAATCTAACATATTCAATCAACTTCATAGATATAAATATTAACTTTACCAAACCGAGAGTCCAGTGTGTTGATGTTAAAACAACTTAGATCAGTAAAAAGTCATAAGAAGAAGTTTTGGGGGCACTTGGTGTTAGTTAAGCAAGCGAGGAGTCAAAATAAGCTGAGGTATTTTTGGTGAGCAAAGTTTGATTTACTTAAAGGTTAGGTTAGGTTAGGTTAATCACCAGGTGAAATAATCGGTGTCTAATTTTCAAATGATCCCTATTTACATAATGGTTTATAATATTTGAGTAAGTACCAGGTGAACACACACACACACACACACACACACACACACACACACACACACACACACACACACACACACACACACACACACACACACACACACACACACAAACACACACACAAACACACACACACACACACACACACACACACCAGCCATTACTAAGAGACAGGAGACGGCTGCACTCCACTAATCTTATCGCTCCTCACTTGATCCAACACTTGACGCGGCGGAGTAACCCTGAACTTCTATCATGTGCTTTGACGGAATTAAACTTGTTGAGAAGTTATGTGGGGACAGCGCTCGCCTCCTGTAAACACCTGCATCAAACCAACAGGTGAAGGTGGTAGGGTACAGAGCTGACCACACTGCCTGCTTGTGTAATGGGGATTTAGTATTCAGTTGATTGTATCTCTACTGCTCCCATAACGGGCCGTCAGACGTATGTTATATAATTTGTTTTTAATCTCCCTGGTTGCTGAGGGTTCCCTTCGGCTGAATAAAATCCTTTGGCGTTAGCAATAGTGTGTTTTAAAATGGATGTGTAGATGCGTACGACTAAATATTGTAATACGTGTGAGAGCTATCTTGCGGCTCCCACATGTACAAAATATAAAAGTATAAAAGAAGCAAACAGAAGCCATCACTCCCTCACTACAGGAGCATGAACCCTATCTAAGATTGGTTGGTGTGTGTGGGGGGTGATACTTCATGTGAGTACTTGTCAACAAAATAATTAAGATTAGATGTGGTATACATCCTTTAAAAATGAAGTATGAGAGAGAAAATTCACAGTTCATACACAATAAAAACATCATATACCTTCCATAAGACATTCTTCACATCAATGATCAGACTCCATCGTTCCCTCAGTCTTCCAGTCATCCTACACCTCAACACAAGTGAATGAGTCCAACTTTTATCGTATCGTCTTGTACTTAATTTTTCTACACCTTTACGGAGGAGCTCGTACCCAACTATAACAAGTTCAATGTCACCTGATGGTTGACGCTAACAGGACAAAATCAAATGACTGGTGTGTCGTCGTCAGCTCACTACATAACACGGATCACCTGAAGATTAGCCCACAGTTTATTTAATCTGATGATTAAACACCCTAACACTACCTGAGGGGTTAGGTTAGGTAGTATTGGGTGAGATGTTCATACTACGTCACCAGCAGCAGGGAGACAAAAATATGGGCACACACGTACTAGTAGTTAAGGGGCCGCCGCCAAGTGCGTCATTGTCTCTGCTTACGTGTGAGTCTTGGAGCATCAGTTTATCTGTGTAACAGAGAACGCGCCTGGCGGAGTCTCTATGAAATTAAACTTTATTCAATGCGTTGTCGTTTAACTTGTGTTTTGAGATCTGGGACCAGAATTGGTTGTGAGATGAACCACTGTGATGAGGGTCTGAAACAGAATGGACAGAGTCATGTTGGGAAGATTTACCAGATATAAAAAAGCAGGTAGAAGACATGTTAAGCCTGGAGGAGAGGGGGAGGGGGGAGTAGGATCAAGCAGCTTACTACAATGAGGAAGCCTGAGAACATGGCGACTTCCTGTTAACGGGCAAGGATGTTTGTAGGGGACTGGTAGTGGAGGTCACTTGAGCGACGTCTAGGAAGTGAACTGAGGAAGATAAGACAAAGAAAGTTGCTATGTCCACTGTTCTGAGCGGCTCTGTGTGTGTCGCTCCCTCCCTTCTAGTCACCTCACCTTATGTGTGTCAGCGAGCGAGCGACAGAGAGAGAGAGAGAGAGAGAGAGAGAGAGAGAGAGACAACGAACATGTTAAGGCTGTCATCAGAGTACTTGAGGAGGGGTTTTAGAGACATTAGCTATTCTGAGCGACGCGATGGTTGCTGGGTGGTGTTGGATTTAAAAAGCGTACGAGCCTATCTGTATGCCCCAATCTGCCCAGGAACTGACCTGACCCAACTTTCATCTCATCCTCTGCCTCGCCGGTCATTAAAGCCACCAGTGAACACCCTACAGAGAACACAACTAGTGAACACCTACAGAGAACACCCTACAGAGAACAACTACTTTCGACTTCCCGCTCAGCTGATGAACAAGAACACCTAGCAACACCTCGGACTAAGCCAAGAAGAGCCTCACCGCCTGGAGACCTCAGGATCAACTTTCTCCCAGAGGTGCTGACTCGTCCAAGGCTCTCCACGACAAACAGGCACCCAGAACAACTACAACAGCGCCAACAAGAACAATAACAATCACATTAACAACATCTACAACAAAAACATCATCAAGAACAATAACAACATCAACACCAAAAACATCAACAGTATTATCAAGAACAATAACATCAACGACAAAATAATGACAACATCAACAACAACCTGTATGTAGAAGGTCTTAAGCCAGGGCAGGTCATAGTGGCGCAATGTGTCACTTCACCGATGTTTGTCATTCGTTGAAGGTCTCGTGCTGCGCGGTGTGTGTACGAGATCTGAGCTGGTTGAAAAAGAGGGCGAGGGTGGCTTATATGTCCTCATCCTAATTTGCTTCTTTGGCCAGCCCTGACATTCTCTTCTACATGATAACATTATTCTTCCTCCTGCAAGACCTTACCTGACTACAATAATACGTTTATCCGCCATCTGCCTCATAAATAAAAATGTGCCATTACCATCTTACGTCTCCTCGGGATATTAGTAATTATATCACCATCTCCAGGTCATCCTCCGTCGTCCTGAACACGTGTCATAATCTAGAGACAAAAGTTCATGAGGTTGTTGGCTTCCAGCACACACCTTAGTGTAATCAATTAGTCCCTAAAACAACTTTACCTTCCACAGACAACCAGAAGTTGCTGCGAGGACCCCGACGTGTGGTGAAGCTGTGTCTGTGTGCCCTCGTACTGCCAGCGATGCTTATCACTATCCCACTGTACGTGCGTCTTGTCCTCTACCCTCCTGGCCACTACCCTATGATGCCCACTGACCAGCGCCTCCTTAGTCGACACGTCTCCAGCTTCTGGTGCCAGGTATGTGGTGGCAGGTGTGTGGGGACACTGGAGGTGCCAGGTATGTGGGGACACTGGTGGTGCCGGTTATGTAGACACTTTGGTGGTGTCAGGTATGTAGGAACACTGGTGGTGCCAAGTATGTGGTGCCAGTAATGTGGGGACACCAACACCAAGTAAGTACGTGGTAGCAGGTAGGTAGTGGGAGGTACTGCACGTGGTAGCAATAGTTAGCCTTGAAGCATGGCCAGTAAGAAACATGAGGTACAACCACACCAACAGATGTTAAATATACAGTATATGGGTTCACCTGAAGATTCACGGGGCGGATGGCAGCAACCCGGGCTGACAAACAACACAGGGTGTATCAAAAGAGTCAGCGAGGGTTAAGGATCTGTGGCTAAAAATTTTATTCTTGGATAATTCATTGTTCTAATGACTTTTGGATAATTTAATGAGTTTCACAATGCTAATTAATCACTTATATTATTAATTATATGTATATATTGTACATGGCCTTCATCGACCGAAACAAGGCCTTCGTGATCAACAAGGAAGTCCTCTGGCGGACCCTCAGTCGTTTTGGCTGCCCACCAAAATTCATCGACATTGTGAGGCAACTCCACGATGGCATGAACGGCAGTGTCCTGCACAATGACACCCAATCTGAGATCTTCCCCATCCACACAGGGGTAAAACAAGGATGTGTACTGGCACCAACTCCCTTTTCCATTTTCTTGACTGCCTTCCTTAATCGTGCCAGTGCCAATTTAGCCGGTGGGGTGAACATCCAGTACCGGATGAAGGGTCTTTTCAACATACGACGACTCCAGGCAGGAACAAAGGTCTCGGCAGCTTCCATTACTGAACTTCAGTATGCAGACGACCTCACCCTTGTCGCTCACACTGAACGCGACCTGCAGGAGATCCTGTACAACTACGCAGATGCGTATGCACAATTCTACCTTGAGGTGAATGTAGCTAAGACTCGGATTCTCTTTCAGCCTGCCCCTGGTTCAGACACACCTCCACCATCCATCCAGCTTAACGGTACTACCCTCTCTAATGTTACCCACTTTCAGTATCTCGGCTCCCACCTGTCCACCACCGTGGACATCGATGAAGAGATTCAACATTTGGATCAGATGTGCATCTCAAACCTTTGGCAGACTCAGTACCCGTATCTTCAGCTGTAGGGAGCTGAAATTATCTACAAAGTTACACATATATCGAGCAGTGGTCCTCCCCACCCTGCTATATGGCAGAGACACATGGGTCACATACAGGAGGCAACTCAAAGCGCTTGAAAATTTTCACCAACGTAGTTATATTCCATCCTCCGAGTTCGCTGGGAAGACAAGAGAACAAATGCCAGTCTTCTCGCTGACACCAACTGTAGTAGCATCGAGGCTACCATTATCCATGAACATCTACCTTTGGACTGGCCATGTTACCCGCATGGATGACAGTAGACTGCCAAAGCAGCTACTTTACAGTCACCTAACGAATAGTAAACGTAACGCTGGCGGCCAATTGAAAAGGTATAAGGATAGTCTTAAGACAAACCTGAAAAAGTGCCAAATCGACCCCCTCACCTGGGAGACGACCACTCCACACCGTAACGCTTGGAGGATCACCACACGAGAAGGTGTCAATACTTTCGAGTTAGCCCGACTGCAAACCGAGGCAGACAAGCGCCAACGCCGGAAAGACGCTGCCGCCGTCCCTCCCGCATTAGATGTAGCCCTCCACATGTGCAACATGTGTGGACGACCCTGCCGGTCTCGAATCGGCCTCTCTAGTTACCTCAGAGCTCACCAACAAAGGAGACATCTCTAATAACTCATATAATTGTATCATAGCTGGATGATAGTCATACTCGATTCCGAGTGACAGCAAAGTAGTGTGTGTGTGGGGGGGGGAAGGGAGAGAGGGATAATTAACTGTAGTCATAAGGTCAATTACACCCAAATAAGAAAACTTAAATATCACATTAACTACAACTGTAAAATCTATGTAACCAGAATAACTAAAAAAAAATGAACTTAACTATAACACTTGACCAGAATGCATTCAACAAACTACTACTACATAACTAATCATCTCCTGCTACTTACAGTCTCAGCTGACACAAATGAACGGCAGCTTCAACACCTATATCGCGCCACACACACCCACCACCTCCACCAACCGCTCCACACACTTCGTCCTCCACTCCACCATGCTCAAGGACGACGTCAAGGAGTACTGGGGCTTCCACCTGTTGAAGGGGAGCAAAGTCACCATCTCCACGTGTTCCAGGTGGGTGCGGATGTGGATGAGTGGGTGGGTGAGGGTGTGAATGTGGGTGAGGGTGGGTGTGGGTGTGAGTGTGGGTGAGGGTGTGAATGTGGATGAGGGTGTGAGTGTGGGTGTGGGTATGGCACTGATGATAGCGTTTTCCGGTAACTTAATCTATGGTTAGGTTAAGTTAATCGAGATAGGTTTTAAATTAAGTTAGATTAGTTTAGGGTAAGTTAGCATGCGTGAGCTTAGGTTAGGTTAGGTTAGGTTAGGTACACTCGCTACAGAAAGTATCTGCAAGGTGGAGTCCGATGAATTTCCAAATGAACACCTAGACTCCTGTTATCTCGGTAGGGTGATCAAATTCCTTCGTCCGTTATGTCATATTGTCTAGCAAAAATAAAATGCAGATAATTTTTGTTGGGGTTGTACCTCTATAAATCACGATAGCCGCGAGGGTTATCGAGAACGCCAAAGTTGTCTCTCTACCTGACAATGACACACTGACGAACCTTCGACCGCCTTCTGCCTGCATTAGCATTAATTTATTTATCTAGTACAAAATTTAGTAAGCTTAAGGAGGACTCGTGTAAAGAAAACAATGATCCACATGCTCCCCAGCCATGACTTTTATCATCCATACGTTTTAACCTTTTTACTGTGTCATTAAAAACCATTATAACATATATAGTCACACTGGTATAAGTTAACAATGTAATTATTATATATTTTACCTTCACGACATAATTGTCACTCAACACAAATTGTATGGCTTTCAATATATATATATATATATATATATATATATATATATATATATATATATATATATATATATATATATATATATATATATATATATATACACAAGTAAATCACTGCAGGTGCGTTTGATCAGGTATATACTTTAATAACCACAAGAAAAAAGCACAGGGATTTAAGCGCTTTCGTGTAATTCACATCTTCAGGGTGAGTACAGACTAGTCTGTACTCACCTAATGCAAAACTATATATATATATATATATATATATATATATATATATATATATATATATATATATATATATATATATATATATATATATATATATGTGTGTGTGTGTGTGTGTATTTTTCTGGCTAAATAAACTTTTAATATTAAAATCTAATGCCCTTTTAGATAGAATATGCAAACTAAGTCTTGTGAGAGCAGGAAGACAATTTACTCCCTGATGCTGTTAAAACGTGGGTCACCCCTTAATAAGATACAGTGGGGGGAGGGAGGGGGCTACTGTCGCCTTCTCCAATAACTCATTACAACCCAAAATACGTAGTCCCGAAATACCAAGATTTAAATTTAGTTAAAATATCTTGTTGTGGTTCATTCCTAGATTCACATGAGAATTATGCAACCCAGCGTATTTCATCTGATGATTACACACCCTAACGCTAACTTAACCTAACCTATCTTAACCTATTTCAACCTAACCTACCCATCACTACCCTAGCAACCGACTCATGTACAGTATTTGTCCTGGTTGCTAAGGAGAGACGTGAGTGGGAGGAGTTAGTCTTTTGGTCACTTAATATAAGTGAAGCCAAAGCCATGAGGCAAAGTGCACTATTTACTTTCTGTTCGCCCAATGTTTACTCGGATAGTATTAAGACCAACAGAGGTATGGACTATAGTTGTTTCTTGGTAGTAATGTAATAGTTCACCGGTTCTTCTGCCAATATGTAGTACTTGAGTTAATTCTACATTTTATTTTAAGGAGAGTTTTGGCAAGTTTAAACTACCACGTAAAGATTTTAAAATACTACAACAAACTTACTTGATGTTATCCCGGCAGTACGGACGGTGGACAGCTGATGATCCTGCGAGGTGTGGAAAACCTCCGACGCTGTGCCTGGATCGGCGAGAAGGACTCTGCGGAGGAGGTGGATTCCCCAAACATTAAGGACGATATAAGGCTTCAACCAAGACCTGATGAACACCAGAACACACTAGGGGAGCAACAACAGCCTGGCCAACACCAACCTGTCAATGATAACGTAGATGTGGTAAGTTTAGTGAATTCCGAAACACAAAATAATGAAACACACGTCCCAGCACATAAGGATCTGTCAGAAGAGAGACGGCAAGATTTGCATCACCTGCTACGACAAGCTGTTAAGATGAGCAAAAACAAGAAAGAGATATTACAGATTCTTCACTCAGTGGGCCGGGGCGGGCAGCAGCCTCTACCTAAGAGAATCAAACAGATCATGGGGTATAGGTCAGAGGAGGAGGAGAAGATAACCACCACAGCTAAGGCTCTTCCCAGTCCAAGAAACAAACGGGATAAAAAAACAGAAGGGAGAGCGAAGGTGTTACTGAGAGAGACTCGCTCTGTGAACGATGTGGACGGTGAGGAGTATGACGGAGCCTTCGAGATATTTGATGACGTGGAAGAAGAAAACGCCAATACAAAGACTCGTAACAGAGACAAGGAGATACAAAGCCCGAAACAAACGAAAGATTCCGCCGAGACGATTGTTGGGGGGCAGATCTTCTTCCCTGAGGGACTAAAATTCGAGCGAGGAAAGTTCAACCAGACGACGAAAAACGACGGCTCAAATGAGGAGGAAGCGTCGTCGTACTCCAGCAGCGAGGAGGCCCTGGCTAGCTGTGAGGGCGTTATCATGGCCCTCCCTCTGTTGGCTTACCGCAGATGTAGTTATCGGTGGATCGAGACCAACAAGGTGGTGTACGACATACCCCTCACAGGCACCTACTACTTCGTGTTTTCCAGCGACAACGAGATCTCCACCAATCACATCTACTTCAACTTGACGATCGAGCGAGTCGTATACGACACCGAAGACTCACAGAAGATATGTACCAACACGAGCGAATGTTCAGCGCCTTTGTCCTTCTGGTCGAAAGAGGAGACGCTGGTGGAGGTGCCGGAGGAGGGCTCATGGGACCACTCCTACGTTCTGAACACTAAGTGTGAACCTCGAGTGGCTATCTACCTCACCTTCCTCCTGCTGGTACCTCTCATGATCCTCTTCTATGCCTTCCACTAGTGAACCTCGCTCAGTACTGAACCTCCCTCATTAAGACATCTCTCATGGTGAATACTATACAATAGGTTCAAATTATGATGAACACTGAATCAATAAATACTGAAGTGAAATTATATCTTGCTTATGATGAACAGTGTGAAGAAATATGACATTAATGAACAGTGTGAAGAAATATGACATTAATGATCAGTGTTAAACAAAGTGATCATTGTAAAAGATTAGTGTGTGTTCATAGTAACAGTGTGTGGGGGGACTCGTGATAAAACTTAAATGATGACCTGACAGAAATTAATAAATTGTACTTAACTTGAACGTTTTAAAAGCATCTAAACTGTTGACAATCATAACTATGTCTATTGTCATTATAAGGTTAGGTTAAGTTACGTTAGGTTAGTTAGGTTATATTGTGTTAGGTTAAATTATGTGATTAGGCTAGGTTAGTGGGGTGCCAAATCATCAGGTGATTGCCAAAGTTGTACTGTACAGGGGATGCTTATATAAAGTGTACAAGCGGTTTTTTCTCTGTGATAGTCTAGTTGAGTGTACAGTTACCTGAGGCAGTGAAGAGGGAGGCTGTCTGCTGTACACTACAAGATATACCGGAAGTGTGTCGACTCGTATGGAAAAATAGACAATGTTTTCTTAAAGTTAGACAAACACCGAGTCATGAGTGTATTGAGTCATGAAAGTATTTGAGTCATGGGTGTATCAAGTCATGGGTGTATTGAGACATGAATATTGAGTCATGGGTGCATTGAGTCATGGGTGAATTGAGTCATGGTTGCATTGAGTCATGGGTGCATTGAGTCATGGGTGCATTGAGTCATGGGTGCATTGAGTCATGGTTGCATTGAGTCATGGGTGTTAAGTCATGGGTGCATTGAGTCATGGGTATATTGAGTCATGGGTGTAATGAGTCATGGGTGTATTGAGTCATGGGTCAAGGTGGGGGCATTGAGTCATGGGTGCATTGAGTCATGGGTATATTGAATCATGGGTGTATTGAGTCATGGGTGTATTGAGTCACGGGTGTATTGAGTCATGGGTGCATTGATTGAGTCATGGGTGCATTGAGTCATTGAGTCATTGAGTCATGGGTGCATTAAGTGCATGGGTGTATGAGTCATGGGTGTATTGAGTCATGGGTGCATTGAGTCATGGGTGAATTGAGTCATGGTTGCATTGAGTCATGGGTGTATTAAGTCATGGGTGCATTGAGTCATGGGTATATTGAGTCATGGGTGTAATGAGTCATGGGTGTATTGAGTCATGGGTGCATTGAGTCATGGGTGCATTGAGTCATGGGTGCATTGAGTCATGGGTATATTGAATCATGGGTGTATTGAGTCATGGGTGCTATTGAATCATGGGTATATTGAGTCATGGGTGTATTGAGTCATGGATTGCATTAAGTCATGGGTGCATTGAGTCATGGGTGTATTGAGTCATGGGTGCATTGAGTCATGGGTGTATTGAGTCATGGGTGTATTGAGTCATGGGTGTATTGATGGGTGAGTCATGGGTGCATTGAGTCAGTCATGGGTGCATTGAGTCATGGGTGCATTGAGTCATGGGTGTATTGAGTCATGGGTGCATTGAGTCATCAGTGTATCGAGTCATCAGTGTATCGAGCCATTAGATTATATTCCCTCGTGAATCCACACGTCTTGGGACTTCTTGTGTATACTGTATACATATATAGGAACTGTGTATAGTATGTATACCAACAATCTTTTATTTCCTTCTGTATTATATAAAATACTTAATTCATATATTATCTCAAAGTATGACAAACTTGGTCATTCAGTAAGCATAATGGTTATATAAGATCATACGTATGGCAGTAAATATTTTTTATACAAATTATACATATTTTATACATATTATATTTAAAGTATACCCCGATTTACGTAAAGGGGTGTATTTACAAATCGATCTTTCGTAAATCGGTGTTTGTGTGTGTGTGTGTGTGTGTGTGTGTGTGTGTGTGTGTGTGTGTGTGTTATGTAGTTGGGTGAGGGAAGAGATTAGCTGTGGTTATTTAAGGATCATTAGATTATATAAACGATAACTAATAATAATAATGAATTGATGAAAGAAGGTGGAAGTGCAGGGAGAGATTACAACGAAGGTAAAGGGAATGTTGAAAGAATATGAAAGAAGGTTGAGAAATTTTGTCACATGATTTTACTAAGAGAGGAAAGAACGAAAATCAAGAGAAAGAGAGAGAGAGAGATAGAGAATATTAAACAACTAATGAATATAAATAACACGAAAGAGATATAGAATTGTCCAAGTAAGAATAATGTCAAAACAAAAGTGGGAAAACTAACAAAAAATAAAAACACAACAAATGAATATGAGGCTGGTTTTAACCCTTTGGCTCCTGATGGTTCCCGTAGCTGAATAAAAGATAAAAAAAAGATAAAAAAAAGTAAAAAAATATAAAGAGGTAAAATAAAAGATAAAAAGAAGTAAAAAAAAAAAGATGAAATAAAAAAAACTCAAGAACAACAGAGTAAGAGAGGTGGAGAACATCGCCCTTGATATATTAAAAATAACAAGTGAAATAACAACGTAATAGATAAGAAGGCAAAACAAACTATGTATAACAGAACGAATAGTAGTAAAGGAATGATAGAAAATACGTATAATTGCCTTGTATATAAGTGAAAGGAGATGAGAGAGAATGAAGAAATTATAGATGAATTTGTCTTAAGTATACTAAGGAAATTTTATGTATATTAGAATTAATTATAGTAAAAAAAAGTATGTTAACTATACTCGGGAAGGTGTATCATAGTTATACTTGAGTTAATTATAGTAAAAAGTATGTTAAGTATACTAGGGAAAATGTATGACAGTTGGTAGGAGAGTATTACGGTAAAAAGTGCTTATTTCATCTTTAGAATAACCTAACCTAACCTAATCCCCCAGGTAGCGTTATGGTGATTAATCTTCAGGTAATCAGTACATTACAAAGGTACTCAAACTATCCAACCAGGAGCGAACTCGTAACAACGGTTTTAAATTAGACAAAATTTTGATTTAGGCGTAAGATAGGTAAACATTGGTTTGGAAATAGAGTAGTGGATGAGTGGAACAAGTTACCAAATATCATCAATAACTCGGATACGCTGGATAGCTTCAAATATAGGTTGGACGGATATATGAGCAATAGGGGTTGGGTGTAAACGGGACTGCCCAGTATGGGCCAATCGGCCCGCTGCAGTTTCCTCCATTATGTTTTTTTGTTCTTACTACTACACTATTACATCACTACTACTACTACACTACCACTACACTTTTTTTAAATGGCCTCCAGCCTCCCCCAATAGTCACACCTTCGCCGCCATTTTATTACCTTAAAATTTAATATCCAAATACATAAGTAGCTACCCTTGCTGTGTTGTAGTTAGTTGAGCGAAGGTATTACTTCACTACTACTACGCCACTAATACAACAGTATTACTTCACTACTAGTACACTACTACTACTACATTTCTACTACACTACTACTACTTCTCTACTTCTACACTACTACTTCACTACCACTACTTTACTAAAGAACTCTATTGTCCTGTGCAGTTACTGTATGGTGTTGATGCTGTGTGTATGAGCCTCAATATCACACATACTCTAGGTCTGTCTTGATGACGAAAACATAACTTCTGCGCAAAAATTATTTCATGAATTTTCCACACACATATATATATATATATATATATATATATATATATATATATATATATATATATATATATATATATATATATATATATATATATATATATATATATATATATATATATATATATATATATAAAAGACTCAGACTCAGAATGTGGAGACACATTCAGAATCCTGAAAGGGATGGAAAACGTCAACCCAGATCACTTTTTCAAGATGTCAAGCGCCACAAACACGTCATAGTTACAAGGTGTCATGCAGGACGAATATACTCGTACA